ATATATATATATATATATATATATATATATATATATATATATATATATATATATTGAAAACACAAGTGTGGGATGACAATTTAGTAGTGTTGATGATTGTTTCTAAGCAAGTGAATGTTGCAGATGCGATATTTGGTGATATTATTTTGCTTATTTTATGTAGCAAACAGTGTTGAAGAAGACAGTCTTGGATTACTCATATCAACAGAGCTGTTATGTCCTCTTTGTATTTCTGTTATTGAAAGATTAAAAGAAAATTACAAAACAAATCCAAATTTGCCAAAGGTTTTTTATTACTCTTTTGAAGGATTCATCATGTCAGTCCTATTAATTCTCCAATTGTCATTCTTACTGAGTCTTTTGAACAAGTGAACATGCCAATAAAAAGGAATCACAGTGAATGATGAAATTTTTGATAAAACAATGAATCTGCAGGATTTGAAAGCGTCCTGTGAATCGCTCGCAAAAACGGATCAAGAACAGATTGATTTATGCAAAACTGGATTCACGAGTGTTAAAATGGAAATGCTGAAAACAAAAAGCCCGAAAGAAATTTGCAATTCACAGAAACTGTGCGAATCGAATGAAACAAAAGGTGGCGATCAGATTAATTGCTGAATGTTTACTCATCGTCAGTATCATTAGAATGCCAACAAGAGAATGATTTGTATTATTCCCATGAAATTCATTCCAGTTCGGCTATTAGTAAGACTTACATCCTCATTCGTGAAGGAAGCAAGAAAAAAACTGAACTCTTAACAAGAAAAGAATCGTTCTATTTCACCGTTCAGTTGTTTTGTTCCGTTTCATCATTCGCGTCCTTTTTTGAAATTGTTCTGTTCTGTTCATTGAGATAGAGCAGGAATAGTAACATCATTAAATGAGTTTCGGAGATATGATGGTGTGGTGCTATTGCCTAGTAAACTGAAACACGGTGAGAGATTGCCGAATAACAAAATGACACGACTCATAACTCGATTTTTTAAATGCAATAGTTAGAAATACGTTCATTCGCCCGTTCGACAAACTGTGCGCCTACAAAAACATTGAATTGTTCACATTAACCCTCGCCTGTTTCAAAAATACTCTGTGATGAAAAATGAGACTTTAATCTTGCAGAGAGTTCATCAGCAGATCAACGCGGCGTACCAGATTTTGCAACTATTCCACTGGTGAGGAACTCGATCGATGAGCCGATACCCGGTGTGGATGTCGTTAAAAAATTAGTGGACTTTGCAGAGGGTAAAGGTGGAAACGTAACCGGAGAAGACCTCACGATTCATTTCGATTTGAAGTTTGAGCCGCCGAATCTGGAACGTGAAGACGCTAATACAACGGATGTCAGCAACGTTACAACAATTCTTTCTTCAACCCCACCGAGCGATAGTTAATTAATAAGCAGATGAATGATAAAATAATGATAAAGTCTTTTTCATTAGATGTTTATCACTGGCTATTCTCCGTTATGAATTCGAAAATTTTATCATATGCTTTCAGATAAAAACACATTTCCCATGCTCAGTAGGGGTTAAAATTTTATTGTCACTTTGGATTTTGTCTGGATCAGGACTGCTGCTTCGAAAATCACTGTAATGTTCTGATTTTTATTACGATGTTTGTTTGCTTACGAAAGAACGGTTTAAAATGTGTTCATATTCAGCCTCATAATAAACAAAAACTTGGAGTTCACACGAGCGTTAACTGTATGCACGTCAAAAAAGCGATACCTGAGAGGACTTCAATAAAATATAAATATCTCAAGCGGTTGTGACGAGCAAATTTCGTCTGCCACATTTGAGAAGGAAATGAACAAAAAATTTTAAGTTGTGTTCAAAAATTAACGAATTTCGGTTGCAGTTCCAAAGCAGTTAGCTGAAACACTGAAATGCATTTAATCATATAACTGAATTATTTTTGAAAACAAATTCTATAATGCCACTGCAAAACCTTGGAAGTTATTTTGAAAGCGTTGATTGAACAATTGTTGTATGATTGACGTTGTTCGCAATTAATTTGTTCTCACTTTCTCTGGTCTGTTTTGCCGTGAGACTAGCGCTGCTCAACACCAGAAACCTCACGGGCAATATTTGGTGAGACTTATAATTACGTTAGGGAATATTCCTATTCTTAATGGTCAATATATCAATAATGATAGTTTACTTATTTACTCATCGTTCTTCTCGTTCATCAATTCATTCCATAAATAGCTAAAGTTTTTGTTTGTTTCAATTATTCGTGTATTACCGTATTTGTTAGCTATTCTTTATTTCCAACCAAGAGTTTTGCTATTTACATTTCCATTTTTTTTCGAATCATAGTGACAGCCAATGAAGTTTACAGTTATGCGGAATCGTAATTAAAATTTTCCACCGAACTTCTGCTAAACAGAGTGTTGGGTAACTTTTTTAAACGCAATTTTCGAAATATTTTTTCGTCTTTCGTTCATCCAAAGTCATTTTTCTGTCAGTGATAGTCGTAAATCAGAAAAGAAGATCACTATTCAATTTAAAGAAACAATCTATTTAATTTTTTTCCGTTTACTATGTAACTATCGAATTTTGAATTGTTCCATTTCTTTTTTTTTTTCAAGAATCGATCTTAAAACGAAAATTCCAAAGATGTAATTTACTATGTCCGCGCTTCTGCTGTTGTCGTTGTTTTGCTGTCTACATTTAGTCTCATACAATCAAATCTTTAAAAAACTGCTTCAGGTAATACGTTTCGTTTCGTGTTGTTGTCCTTACTCTCATCAGTCTCGTTCTACACAGAAGTGTTTACATATAAACAAGTTTTCACTTGAATATTCGTAATGAATAATAAAAACATTTACAAACTATTGTACATCGCACTGCGTCCTTCGTTTCGGATTGAAACCCAAGCCAAGCAAATGCTCTCTTTCCTACAGTGTTCATCGAGTTTCATGCCCTTTCCTCAATCAACATCCATCATTTTCATCTGAAATCATCACTGCTGAAGGGCCATTAAACAATCACCTATAATATTCTTCCCAAACTCTAACGTGAATTTCTCATTCTATCGTTAATAAGCACTCACTGCAAGCAATATCAGCACTTGTTTACTTTGGGGGGTCGCAGGCGAGCATGCGCGCGCTCACACACATATACGTTATAAACGTAAGCGTAGCCTAAGCCTAAGTGTAACCCAGCCCCATCCAAGCGTAGCCTTAGTCTTTACGAACGCCCAGCGATTGCTCGATGTTACAACGGAGTACTAGCAAGCTAGCTCCGACCTAGGCTGAGGCTGAAGCTACGCTTAGGCCGAGATCAAGGCCACACCCACCAAAGGTTGTGCCTGGCCTCGGTCTATGTTAAAGAGTCGTTCATAACGTGTGTGCTGTTGTGCTCGAGTGCACCCCCCCGCCAAGTAAACAAGTCTAAAAGGTTACTGTGTCATTAGTCTAAAATTACTCTAATGCAATCCGCTCGATGCTTTGTTCCCATCCATGGCTAAGTGAAAACAAAACTGCGACTTTCAGCGAAATCAGCGAAGTCTGAGTGGAACAATTAAAATTTTCATCGTTCTAGAAGTCTATTCGGAAAGAAATTCGTCCATATTTTGTATACACTGTGTGAACAAAGAACACAAAAAAAGCATCGAGACTACTATCACACAAAAACTGTTGCAAATTACAGCAGAAAAACGAGGGTGCATCACACCGGTCAGGTGGCTGATCGAGCTTATTCTCGAAAAAATTAGCTGAAACGAATGTAATATTAGGATTCCTGGCATAAAAATGATAGGAAGTGAATAGAGCACATAGGGGAAAACAGACGAATTTTTATGCAAAGAATTTTTTGGAATGTGATTATATTCTCATTTTTGCGTTCAGATTAAAAGCTGACGGCATTGAACGCTTCGTTGAAAGCATACATCATTGTGAAGGTTCTCCCTTCATTCAACAATCACTCGGCCTCTAAGCAGTTTTTGAAAACAATGTTTGAAAAGCTTACAACTGAACTGGTGCAGAAACCACACAACAAAACGTTGCAGTTCTGATAATTCTATGATTGAATCAATGATTTAAGGATGCATCCTTCGAACTGCTGTTTTATTAATTGCAGCACTGTTCTTGCAGGTTTTCATCTCACCACTTCCAGAGGATTTTTTAATTTTTGTTTTTTGTGAGCCACATGATAGATACGTAATCCACTTGGCCGATGGCTAGCTTGAAAACGAGGTCATACATAAGTCAAGATATCGAATTAACACTGTTTTTTTTTTCGGTTTGAATCTATATATAGTTACTGTAGTAAGCATCTTTACAAATCCTCACTGTAGTGTCTATATTGAAATCACGAAAGATTGGTGATTTTATCCGTTGATGGGTGTTGAATCTGTTCAGCAGATTATCTTAAACTATCAAATAAAATAACATTTCAGAGATAAGAAGAATGAGCGTTGAAGAAGCTGTGCTTCGTGTTGCGTTGAGGAATGATTTTCATGAAGTGGTTAAATTATTGCATAATTCATTAACTGAACATATGCATCTCGAGTACGCTTTCTTCGTTATCAAGCACATTATCAGTAGACGTTTCATCGATAAATACGATTTGGTACGACATTTAATTGCTAGGATTCGTACCTATCAACTGCCTTCAAATGGTTATGAACTGGAACTGATCAAGCTTCAATATTCAATTGCGTTTGTTGTGAGTTCTCTCGTAGTCCTTCACTGAATATATATTTTTATATTGATTGATTTCATTTTTAACTGAACTGATCCAGTAATCGATTCAAAAATCCGTTCTTGTAGAGATTCACCGCTTTCATTTGTTAGCTCAACAAAAAGGATAGTTTCAAATGAACTGCTGGATTCAGAGTAATCTGTTGATGGTTCTAAAGCTTACTCTCCGAAATTTATTTTGGTCTCAATCGTAGCGTTTTGTTTCAGAAATACTTCTTTATTCTGTTCACGTTTTACTACACACATCAAAATGAAATCGTGAATGAATTTGATCACTTTTCTTATTATTCTTTGTTTTCAGATACTGATGAGTGATATAATTGGTTTAAGAAGTGGAGGTGCATTGCAGTCGGAGCAGTTGACCATAAAAATTAGAAAACTTCTCGCTGATTCTGGGAAATATTATGTAAGTGCGTTAGTGCTTGTTTGCGGTATCACCCGAAAAGAAGAGTAGTTTGTGTCTTTGAAGAGCACTCATGATATTTTAACGCCTTTTATATTCATTATCATCTGTTTCGCTAACAGGCTTACGCTTCCTCGGCAGCAGGCTCTGATCGTAGCCGATTTGCGCAACATTGCTTTCGATTTTATGCGAAACAGTTGCTAGTTGTACCACATTTTAGAGGCTCGATTTGAATTTAATGATGAAAAAGCTGTCGAGGGGAGAAAATAACAAAAGAAAACGAATAGCCGTGTCTATGGAGAAATTTGTGAAGGAATTAGATGAAAATTCAGTTTCATGTTGAGAGCATAGTGATCGTTTACGGTTTTTAATCACAAACTTAATGGAGCATGACATGTGGTTTTCAGTTAATTAGAACTGAATGGTTCAATTTAGGAGGTTGATCGATTAGCACAGGAGAGTCGCATAGCGCTGATGTCGATATTGATGAAACAGAAGCGTGTGAATCGTTTAAGGAGAGAGTTTTACGGTAAAGCTGAACGTATTTCTGAGCAAATCGAGGCAGGTTTTGATCGAATTCGCGTCGATATAATACCGCCCGAACGTGAACTACCAATCGATCGTCGTTTACGTTGCTCTGTTGCCGCAATTGCACTCTACAACGAGATTGTAGAACGAGATGGATTTAGTGAGCCCACACTGCTCAAGTTTTTGAATGCTTTCTCGAATACACCACAAATGAATCTGAACTTTTTTGAATCCTCCTCACATGACTTATTTTCACCGAGTAACTAAACATCGCATGCACCTGAGTTGATATCTCACTCGCTGATCATGTCGAACAATGAGGAACCCTCAACATATGCGGTCGGTGCACTCGATATTCAATTGATGAAAGCATACCTAAAAACATTATTTCAGTCCTCTATGAATCATTATTTTATTGTTGGTATATTGCATACGTTGGCCTGCTCGCCTAGCCAGCGGGTTGGCGTAAATTGAGGCTAAAACAACGCGCACGGAAATGCGAGCATTGTGGCCGGCAACGTTATAAACGTTTGATAGCCTGGCTAATCCAGATTTGATATTGCATACGTTTTTATAATGAAAACATAAAACAGTGTTTATGCTCATCGAAGTCGGCAAAAAATGACTTCGTCAGTCTCACAACTGAACGCTTCACCTTTCAGATGTATATAATTTGGCTAAAAAGTGGAAAATACATCATCCATCTTCTATTTTGTGTATTTTATATAATGTATTTTGTCTTCCAACTGTAATATTTTCTTTGTTTGTATACGAGTGTAATTTGCAACTTAACAAGTCCCATTAATACCATTTTTATCGGGTGATGATTATTCAAATACCATTGGTTGTGTAAAATTTTACTTTGGTATATCATCAAATTTTTGGATTATAGTCACTGCTTTGTAGATAATAAATGGTAAACAATTGCCATGAACGTTAGCCTGGCATCTAAAAGTGTTCGCTCTTAACGAACTTTTCTTCATGGAAGACGTTCATATTTTCAGAGATGTGTTTCTTCAACAGCACCACCTTCAACAATTGATTTTGTTTTGGTCACTAATGGAATGTCACTTGTACAGTGTGAAGAATGCAGCACAAGTACTCGAACGAATTGGTTTTAATTGAAAAATCACAATGAGTAATCAATCAACTGGCACAAGTCACAAAAACTGCTCTTTTGTACAAAGAAATTCAATGGAAAGATTATGAAATTATTGAAACAACGGAAGTGAGACGGAAAACGAATTCAGTGGAAAGAAAACCAGATTGATAAACATTATCGTGATGCAAACAACACAAAGCGAGACACCTTCGAAAATGAATTTCGGTGCAAAAATTGCCCACACCATCAGATGGCGTCGATGAATTGCGGCAGCCATACAAGTGCACAGAACCTAAAAATAGTCTATAAACAAACCATTCATTTCTTCTGTTCACGTAGAAATTCCCTTTCACACCAATCAGTGAACCAGTACCATTCATGTACGTTAAAAAAGGAAGGATTCTCAAGAAAAAAGAACGCTGAACGAAAGAAAATGTTTATAATATCAGTCAAAAGACAACAAACGAAATTTTTACGTAGATGCTATGAAAATGGAATGAATAACATCAAAACTATGGAAGGGCGAGATGAGAAGAGAATAAAACAAAAATTAAACGAACTGGAATAGAAGTGAATATGAGGAAAGCGTACGATCGGTAGGCCAATGCATTACGAGGAATAGTTGTGCTACAGTACGTTAATGATAACGGTAAAGCAACAACCGTGATGATTGACGAAGCATACAAATGTGTGATCACTAAAGCAGCCTGCACCGATTGAAACTCAAAATTACCAGGCACACCAATGAAGGCTGCCTGCCACGGAATCGTTGAAAATGTAGCATGATGTGAAAGTGCAAAAAAACCGTGGTATGCAAGCAGTATGAATAACATCATCTGAAGTAACTCTGCAAATAATGAAAATGAGGTAGAGACGGCAATTTGTTAACCCGATATTATTCACCAGAAATGGGCACTAAATACATCAAAAGAACCACAAAAAAGTAACGCATGTCACCAGGCATAACAACATTTACAAATCAAACCACATCCCTCATGATCTTTCTCATTTTCTCGCTAGTCATCCAGTGGATGAACTTGCAAATAAGTAATCGAACGAGTTAACTTACCGTCGTGTACGAACCGTATAATAACGAACAGAATGAATAAAATAATGACGAAACTGATCGTGAGTGAATCACCAAGCAATAAAGTACATATTGAGGAAAATATGTTCACAAATGCTATACAATAGCCTTTCATTGCATTCAGCGATGAACATCGCATCAATCCATAAATCAATAACAGCAATCTGAATGCAGCCAAGACGAAAACAACCTATAATTGTATCAAAAACAATGACCTAATAGCACTAAAACCGAATTAGTTGGAATTTACGTTCATAGTTCATTGGGTGTCTTTTTTGAGCACAGCAGTACAAAATTAAGTTGAGAATTTCTACTACTGCTTAGCAGGAACTACTGGCAAATAAGTCGTAAGTTGTTGAAATGCTGAGTGTAAGATAACTAAAAAGAGCAAATTGCAGAAGAAAGCCATCAAACAAAACAAACCTGAGCACAAATTATTGGAAACGAAGCGAACTGAGTCGCACTTCTCTCCGGTAACCATTCAGCTAACCAAACGGCAACCGTTGCGACAGTCGATGGAAATATCAGACTAGAAGCGATTGCTTGTGGGCAATGCTCAATTTGTATATGATATGAAATAAATGAACCTGCACAAAGAAACACCACTCCAGTCACGAAGCGAATCGCTTTTTCGGCGCCTGAAACGCGACAGTTGCTTCACACCAATATTTATGCAGAACGGTTACATTTGAAAACGTTTCAAAAAAAGTAAGGAGAACGAACCAAAACTGAGTTTTGTGAGAGGTAGTGAAAATTGAGTTGCTGAACATGCAGCTTGTTGCTCTTCTCGACACCGCTCCCAAACGATGCCAACACGAAGTGATAATAACACTATGATTGCCAATAACAAACGCCCCTTCCCCAAACGATCCTCAACATACGAAAATAACGACGTTTGCGTATTCGTTCGTCTACTGTTTCGACTCCATTGTCTACAAAACGACATAAAAGTTATAAATAAATATTATGGGTCAATGAAGATACGAATGAAAGAGGAACCAACAGAAGTAAAAAGTACTTGATAGATGCTGAATGAAGAATAGCAACGACGAATAAGGATTGCGTGAGGAATCGAACTGACGATGACTCGAAAACGATGTAGCTGTTCGAAAAGAACGATAGCGCATGCGCGACCACAACGAATAACGAAATACAATGAAACTTAGATAACGACGATCCCAATAAAGCACTTAATAATAAGATTATGCGCCAAATTATTGAAACCGATAAGAGTGTGTCTAATACAGCCGTATAACGTTCATCATCGCCAATCAAATATGTCGACCACTGAACGAGGAAAAGTCCAGAGCGAAATATCAGTGATCCTACTGAAACATCACTGAAAGTATGCGCTACTTGCATGGTGATGAAACATCACAATCGATTCATGAAATGGAAAAGCAATTTTCCTTTTAACTTTCAAAACATTCTGACCAGTCCAAAACGATAACTTTTACAGTGTTTGTTTGCAAAAATGATCCAACCAAATAAAATAGTATTTTATTTTGGAAGAAGTCAGAAGATTAAACAGACAGCAATCAACCGCTAATGTTGCTTTTGAAAAGCGACAATAAAGAATGAATTGACAAAATGGATGACGAACTTTTTCGAAAGAATGGCGTTAAGCGCTGTTAAAAAAGCGTCGATGAACGAGAGCACCCCAATACGCATGAATGTTAAGTTGAAATGCGTCCATGAGGCACGAAATAATGATTGCGTTGAGCGCATTGCATCACGCTGACCATCGATGCTATTCGATTGTGCATCAAATAAACGCAAAATCGATTCAACATTCGGCAGATCACCGATTAAACTTTGTGCATATCGCATAATTTGCCATGCGTTACTCGTTATTGCCCACTCACGTAGATTGTTTTCAATGAAACATTCACTTATTATGCCAATATTTGAATACGGAATCGGCGAGTCCAGTAAAACACTTAAAGTTGGTACCAAATCAATCTGAAAAAACTCATATTAACAAACTGCAGTAAAATACCGATTACTACCAACACAAACTATGAAACAAACAAACTCAACAACTATCAACAATAGGCAAAATTTCATTGTCTTTTCATCAATGACGAAACCAACAAAATCAATACATGACAATTCAACTGGCATCAATCGAAGAAAGCCATTCACCTGTGCGATGCTATTAGGTGGTTTGCAAAAGAGAAGTCGCTTATGCGCGTATAAAAATAGTGCTGCGTCAATTTCGGCTTCGTCATCACCACCATGATCCCCAGTTTCGGTCATGCCATGATCACCCATAACCACCAAAACAGTCTCGTTATCGATTCGCTCCGTAACATTCTCTATCATTTCATCCATCAACGCTAACTGCCGAGCCATTTGCTCATGATCTGGACCATACTTATGACCACAATGATCCACACCCAGAAAATGTGCCACCAAAACGCTCCAATCAGGACGTGACAATTCATCGTAAATGTGTGCTGAAGAAAATGATAACAGCAGTTTGATCATCGATCATTCAGGTTTTTGCGTACTCGTAAACCTTAAGCTTTGTTTACGAGTACACAAAAAATGAATGACCAACTAGAGTCAAACCAATTGAAATGACAATTCTTTCAAGTTAACCCAAAAAATGAGTTGACTTTGGAATCATCACTCATCGATGTGAAATCACAATAGCCAATAATAAGCGAAATATGAGAATGTGTTATGGTATCAATTCACTTTGAAAACTTACACAAAATCATATTATCGACACTGCTCAGATCGTTGACATCAAACGAAGGCATTGCAAAATGACGATGAAATTGCGTTGGAAAAAGTGCCGTCCTTAAACATTGAATATATAAACAACAATGACAATAACCAGCAATCTGCTTGTGTAAGCTTTCATAGCCATCGACGTTTATTCAAATAAACCCTTGAAAACAAAAACTCATTTCTGACATATATTACTCAAACGAATGATTTTAAAATTACCAATAACATTCAACATTTTAGTAAATATTGACGGTAATCTAAACATAGATTATAAAACTTATTAAACTGAATACAGCCTTTTATAGAGGTCAAAAGTGAAAATGACATATATTCGCATCGGTAAAGATTAAATGCAATGAAAGTAAAATCGTTGGAAATTTGAAAGAGAGCGCAAAAACAGACATATACCATGTGAATAATAAACTGACCACGTATCATCTCCAAGAAATGTGATGTTACGACCGGATGAGACAATCTGATCAACCCAGTTATCTTCCTGAACAGCTGTACTCGCAAAATTTGCACCGATATCGATAAAGGTTGGCAAAGAGCCTGTTGTTAAGGCTTTGATTCGTTGCATTGTTGTTGTTGGAGGGTCGGCAATGAAATGAAGAAGAGTACTCGATTCTAGAATCAAATGCAATCGTTAAGGTTGGTAAACTCATTAGCACAAAGAAGTGCTTGCGTTCATTCACTTATCAATTATCCTAATCAGTGAATTTGCACTGATTATCGTCAAATATGCAGACACAGAACAAGTGCTATATTATACCATTGCTTTGTTGCAACAAATGAGCCACACTAGGAAAATGACCAATGAAATGAGACGAAGACGGTTTCGAAGAGTTGTTCAGTGCACGAGGTGGTGCAATGAAATCATAGCGCAATGCATCAATCAGGATGATAACGGCACGCTCAAAATGGCGTGGTAACCAACACGACGAACGTGTTATCGTTACGTCTGCACACGAACTTCGTTCAAGTTGTTCGTGACGTTTTAGCAAAAAGCCATGTTGAAAGAGCAATAGCGCTATTATGAATCCAAATCCAAGCAATACAATATTCACGAAATGCGTCTGAAATGAAATTATTTCAGCTATACAGTTATTTAAAATTATTTCAACAGTTAATAATTTTGTTTTAAAATTATTAACTGCTTTGCAACTCAGTGAGACAAGTCGGTAAACTTGTCCCAAAGCATGCTTCTAAATAAAACAGAAATATTCAAAAAAAAAATCAACCGGTAGCACTAACACAACTACTAAGCATCATTTGTCGTGCTTATCGGGCATAGACAAACGCTCATATGGTAATGAATGGAACGTTCGTAAATCTGACGGTAAATCGTTGATATCTGCAAATAAAAGATTTTTAGTCATTTAATATGAGGAACGGTCAAGAAAATTTCATCTAAACAATATTCTAAAAAACTCTAATAAATATTACTGAAAATATTTTTTGAAACAATGAATTTGGAAACGATATTTTTCTCACAAAAGATCCGAATCAAAAACGAAATAAACAGCGAGAACAAAAACAGCAAAAGGAAATAAGAAACAAACCGTTGGTATAATTAAGCGAAATGAATCGTATGAAGTCTCGCGTTGATGGCAATTTATCTACGGTTCTACTTTTTGACTGCGTTTTTTTACGCTTTTTCCTTCGTTCTTCTAATTTTTTCTTTCGCTTCTCTTTCTCCAACTCTCGGCGTCGATTCTGCTTACTTTGTTCGTAGATTGATTCCAGTAAAGCTTTTTTCACTTCGCTCTCCGCAAAACCCTCCTATATGAACGCAACATCGTACAACAATCATCACATTTGCATAAAGTAACACTTTAAGCCACACCTAATCATTACGAATTTGTATAAAAAAGATCAAACCATTGAAATGTTTCATTGCCGAAAATAATATGACGAAACAGCTCAAGCTCACCTCCTCTTTGTACTCGAGCCGGGGCCTTAGTGCACGTTTTTCGAGTGAACTGCTGCTATTTGCACGCTTATGCTTCGTGCCACTGCTGCTGCTGCACTCACTTGTACTACTGCTAACACCAATGCAGCTTTTGTTCCTTTTCATTTGCTAACCGAAACAATAAAACTCTAATTTGAAAAATATCATCGATCACATTCACAGCAGCACCTCAAATGTCAACGTGCCTGTAATAGCTCAACAGTTTACTGTCATGCGGTTATTGCATCATCAATACAACCTCATCAAATATCTTAAACATTTAATGTTTCAACCAATCATCTCATATTTTCCATGTGCCACCCCAGCCTCCTCTACAGTTCAAATCAACTAATAGTCAATGTTTAATGAGCTGAGAAAGATAACGAATCAAGAAACGCAAGTAACGACGATTTGAAAAGATGAAAGAATTGTCGATCGAAATCGGAAAATATTTTAATGGCCGTTGGTTTACGACAATAATATTTTAACACATACAATTAAAACCAAAACAAGAGCGTATACAAACAAATTAGCAAATATCCTACGGCTGTTTAACCACTTCGTACTGAACTTCCACTGAATTCTCTGTGCTCATTAGTGACGTCCGACGTTCGGATTCTGATCGAACAATTCGGATGTTCGGTCAGAATTCCGAGTGTCGGAATATTAGAATGTCAATTCGGTTGGATCTTGACCGAAGAATTTTGGGGCTGAGTCGAAATCTCGAAATGTGAATTCGGTCGGATTCCGACCGAACTGAAATTTAGTTTGGATGCCATCACTAGTGTTCATCACCGTCTGAATTACGATACAAAAGCCGCAAAAAAATCAACCATGAATCCTACTGTAATGAAGTACGGAAGCCATTTTTGCATAAGATGGATACCATGCATGTAAATCATTAAAACTTTATATCATTCCACTGAAGCGCTACCATAAGAAGTAACAAGTTTCGTAGTTAACAAATAGACTTCAGCTTATGAATACTTTCCCAACAATGTATTTATGAAACAGTAAAAGAACAAAACGAATACTTGCTTTAAAATCCAGAAGCTCCCAAAGAGTACAAAACGATATAATACATGGAAAAGTGATGGAATGCAATCCCAATGGATGCCAGTCTAATCTACAAACCAAATCACTTCATCCAAAAAAAACCATACAATTAAGCATTACATATAAACAAATTGAATAAAAACAGCACGCCACATAACTTCACATAATAGGCAAAATACTAGTGATAACAACAACAATCATGAATGACCACAATAATGGAACAGTAAGAATCAAAAGATTAAAAGAATTAGTTACGATAAGGATACTGCACAAAATCAACGACAGCAATCAAAATTCAACAATAACAACAATATTACTAACGCTGATATGATTAATCATGAAAACAGTAATAAAAATTGCAACATCAACAAAATACATCGATGCTTATAACAAATCGCGATGCAAACAACAATAGTCACACTAAGAGCAAAAAAACGTTGCTAAACATCATTCAATGAAACATTAACGACAATTCAATAACAAAAATGGCGTTGACTATTCACGTTATGAGCCTTCCTCAACAAACAAAAAAGCATAAAACAGAGGAATGAGAGTATAGGTTGAAAAGGGACATTAGGACTGCTTAAGGAACGATATGTTTACAAAAAACAACCATAATTTTAAAACAGTTATGAACAATCCATACTTTAATTAGAAAAAAACGTCATGCTGCCATGAACAAACGCAACAAAATTTTTACTCCCTATCAATTTTTTCCAGATAAAATAATTCGAAGTGGGAAATTACTCGCACAGTTTTATTATGCTCGAAATACTCGACGACAAAGTTAGTTTGGAAATATTTTTCTTCATCATTCTTCACGTAAGACGCAGTCTAATCCAGGTTTTCTCAACCGGGTGTGCTTGCACCCCCAGCGCGTGTGAGATGGTTTTCCAGGGAATACTGTGAGAGGGGGCGCGGGAGGGGATAAGAAATAAGGTTTCATTATTTATACATTAAACTAGGCAAGGACGGAGTTCAACGCCTACATTCCTAGTAGGCAATACTTTAAAAATAATTCTTTCGCTCGCGTTTCATTCTTTAATAAACTATTGTTTTAGGGGGTGCGGGGGCACAAAAGGTTGAAAATCACTGGTTTAATCGATGCACTTTGTCAATCAAATACAAACAAAAATGGTCCCCGAAAAGTAATCAGGATAATACTTTTTCAGACTACCACCATTTAATCGTTTTCTTTTCATTCTTACTCCTCCTTTTTTGGAACTCTTCCTATATTACTTGGTTTCGAAAAGTTGCAATGGGGTCTGGGCAAAGAATAGAAAATAAACATTATGAAACAGAAAAGAAATCTGACGACAAAAAAATTATCAAATCATGATGCATCTAATGAAAGACTGCTAGACATAAATACCACATAGAACGAATAATCAAACATATTCAGCTGGTCAACAACTCATTGAAATATAATGAAATGAAGTTAAATTAAAATGACAATGGATTGTCTGTTCCCGATAAATCCGTTCTTATTAAATTAACACGAACATGTTATTATTATTATTTCAAGAATAGCATTACGCTTAAAATACCATGTCCAAAATATGGATATGTGAATCAACGATTGGATTTTGAAACGAAATAAAGTAAGAAAAAATAACCGTACAACTGTATGGTTGTTTTTTTTAAACAAAGATGAATTCTGAAAACGAAAAAGTAGACAGGCCAAGAAGCAATTAACAGAATAAAAACGGCAAACATTTGGGAGTGTCAGGGGACAACAAGTACCAAAAATATGAGTGTAAAACTGGAATGGTGTTTCAACTGATAACGACAACTAAACAAACAATTCGCAATCTCAAGTCGTCATCACAAAAAGACGTTCTCAATTCTGTGAACGATTCGAATTTATAAGCACCAAAAAAACAGTAAAAGTTGGATAATCCAAAAAACAATTAATGGAATAAATACGGCAAACACATCAAGAACAATCGCATCAGACACGGTCATGCAAATAAAATCCATGGCGATCGGGAGATACACTTAATAATCGCTCTGCTGATATCTAACAATTGAATAGCAGTTTGTAAATTATAAATTTAGCGTTTGGTAATTAGCACAAGAGTTTGGAATTATAAAGTTAGCGCACGAACAAATAATCATATGAAGTAGAATAAGAATACTACTAATAATGAAAGAAAAACAAAATCAACTTGTAGTACCAAAAATATGAACAAAAGAATAAATGCGTGGCAGTGAGAAGAGAGCGAAAACTCATTATTAAAAGGGATTGGAAAACAAACACAGAAAGAATGAAAAAATCACGGAATAAGGGAATGTTTCACCATTTGGAGATGAGAAAAAGGCAGGCGTCAGTACAGTGTTTCTCATAGAGAGTAGATTATCCCCGTGGAATAATTCGGGGGCGTCAAGAGAGTAATTGAAGGGTTAGCAAGCTAATATTTCATGGAGTTATGTTTCGGTGAAAAGCCATTGTGATAGTATTTGTTTTCATTTGTATCTTTTGATCTAGACATTTGGGTATCTAAACGCGGTTCGCTCATGACAACACTCTATTCTTTCTGTGATTTTCTGAGTTCCTCTAGCTCGCCCACACCTTGAATAGTCATTTAAGGTGTGGGCGAGCTAGAGGAACTCAGAAAATCGCCCACACCTTAAACAGAATGTTAAAAATAGTCACAAGTATATTGTAACTTCTCAAATAAATTTGGATACTTACTTCTGAAAACAGCATTGACCTAGACTGATGCTTGAAAGCGAATTGCGTTTTTTCAGACGCGTCCCCTTTTATCCCAAAATTGACCATTAATTTATGGTTTGCTTTATGCTTCCATTGAACACGAAATTAAGTTCATTTTCATGACCAATTTTGTAATATATTCATGTTCACTATGTTACAGTAATAAATCGTTACTTTTAATCTCCTTAATTTGTGGAAATAAGTTCATAATCCTTTTACGTATATTTTGGAACTCGTGAGTTTTAAATTGTCCCATAATTCTTACTTCAACTAAATGCTAAATTCATCAACAACAATTTTTTCACCGGGTTCAGATGACTGGTTTGTGTCAAAAGAGTAATTGAGGGCATAAATGAACCTGTTGGTAAATTTCAATTTTTTTTACCGCTGACGCTTACTTTTTTATTGTTAATCGCTCGGGTTCATATTCTTTCTGCAATAAACGAACGAAGTTCTAAAAATATTTGTTTCATTCCACAAAATTAGTTTCTTTCATGCCATCGAGGACTTCTAGACGGGCTTTCGATTTGTTCCTGATGTTGTGAGTGGAAATAGTAAATTCTTGTAGGGTGGAAGGGCAGTAACGGTCTGCTAAACCATCGAACGGAGTAACAGAGCCTCCAAGCAAGAGAAACACTGCATTAAAGGATACTGTTGTCTCACTCGAAACAAATGATTGAATATTGCTAATGCTCACTAGATGACAGTGGTGAATCTTGGTTGGTACACGATGAACTGTTAATATTCTCGTTATCATTACTATTATTATTATTATTACTGGTATCGTTATTTGTTAGAACCGCAGCGGAGATTCCAATACGTTCACGTTGAATTCGAATTCTGAAAGTAGTCAAATTATACCTTGCGACCATATAATCCACTGTATGCATTTGCACAAAATTTGTTTAAAGTTCGTTAAGGATGAGATTCTCTGTTTACTCTTTGTTCATTCAGAACTGTCACAAGATCGGAAATTTTTACTGAACAACGAATATATTTTTAATGACCATACCAGCATCTTTCAGAATATTATCATAACTTATCAAAGTTGAATTGCAGTTTAAGAGGATGAAAAATCTGACAACAACACCATAATGTGATTAGATGTCTAAAAACGAAAAAGGAGACATTTGAGAGATTAGGTTGAAAAAAGACGAATAATGTAGAATGTACCTGAGTTTCGAGAGACGTCTACGATCGGATTTGGATGCGGGACGTACCAGACGATGTAGTTTGAAGGGTGACTGCTTGGGGGCTTTAGATGGTGTCAAAGGTTGTGCGTTATGCACGTTCAGTAGGGCATGAGCCATGTAAACGCAATTCGCGTTGATCAATGAACGACCGGAACGATTCTTTTGAAGTGCTCTATTTGCAGAGGTTGATGTGCAATTTGCTAAATTTGTTGTGGATGCAGAAGACGATGAAGAAATGGCTGACGAACGAGTCACAACACCGCTACTGCTCGAAGCGCCATTTTCGTGCTCTTCACACTCGTCGTCGTCAAACAAATTTCGACGTGACGTACAACGTCCATAAAATATCTACAATTCACTCTTCAAAGCATTTTCGTCCCTTTATCATTGCGCTATATAATTCTGATGCGATAGCGTAAGCACCAAAATGTCGACCAACTGCTCGAAAAGTCTCAACAAATCCTTATTATGATGGCAGTTAAAAGCGCATTCAATTGTTAGTTACTAGTTGGCAACTACACTTACAGACCATTTAATCAAGTCAGAAACGATCTTAATTTTATATGTATTTATTCTATTGCGAAATGCATTTTTGTCATTAGGAAATTGAACAGTAGCAAAATAATATCGTTTATCTGTAAACATAAACTCAGACTGGAAATTCTACTACTTTTAAAATGCAAAAAATTGACAAAGCAAATGAAATAAAATTCACACCTCATTTTTATCGCCTTTGCGAGCTGTATGACGAATACCATCAAGACGTCTTCTATATCGATCGACAACACTTTTCTCAAGCGTGAATTCACCTTTGATTTTTGAACGCTGAAAGCTGACAGATAGATGTGCATGAGTTATGTATTCAATCCTGTTGCCACCTGCTCTTATGACGCATTAGCACTGAGCTGATGTACTGCTTGTATTTTAATGAACGATGAGAAAACATTATACTTTTCAAACGTTAAACAAACAACTAGATACATCGTTAGTTTATTAATTATTACTAGCTTATCAAGCATATTATATGATGTAATGCGCTAAGAATTCCAACCACTTAAATTAACAGTACACGGGGACATAGACAAATAAATCGGAAATCTTAATAAGAATAAAATAAAATAAATAGAAAACGCAAGAAATAATAACCGGTGAAATGGCTTGATGTGATGAAGACGATGAAGCGTTCGACGCAAAAGCATTCGAATTTGTTAGCGCATCTGCGCTGCATTTGGCGAATTTTTGTTGTAAATTGATTTTTACAACACTGCTATTGGTATTATTGCTTGGCTGCGATGATCGAGTGGATGGACGATGAACGATGCCAGCTGCCGATGAAGGCGATGGTGACTGCTGTGCAGAAGGTGGGGTGGGTAGAAATGAATTTGGAGATAGGTGATTAGAGCTCTTCTTCTTAGATTGGTGGGCAGCACATTTCATTAACAAGCCAGCACCAGAAGATGAAGCTTTCGTTGACGACGCTTCACTCTTTTTCAGCACTGCAATCAACGGCTGCGAACGACGATTTGAGTCTAAAATTCAAATTTTTAATGATGCTTAAAGTTAACCATGCTGACTGCGGCACGTTACACAATGTGCTTTTCAGATTTACACAATAATGCAGAACTTCGATAAAAGGCAACTGAAAATGCGAAAGACTGGACAATATTTGTTCAAGCTTCATGCTAAGTAAGAGTAGTATCAGAACAGAAAGCGGAAGACATTGAAAGAGTTATTTGAAGAACGACAGTAAAGAAACCAGCATACATCTGCTCATTTTTGCAATCGGTGTTTGTGGTACAACCGCATTTTGATCGTCTTTTACCATCTCTGCAACGGCGCGTTTCTTCTTCATTTTTGATTCGGGTGTTTCAGGGACCGTAAACAATCGTTTCACTAAAGAAGGTCGACGTTTATCTGCTTCCGTCTCACTTGTACCCTCCCAGCTATCGTGTCTGCCTACAATAATATTCAGTTCTTAACTCGAACACTTTCAAAGCAATTATATAATAAACTAACAGCCACTTCATATTGGTTTGCAATGAATAGTTGGTGAAAAAATGAAAATTGGTTAATGATATCTTTCGCTTTTAGCAGATGAATCGGACGAATCGCTAAGAAAAAATATCTGGGAGGAGAGAATTAAAAATACACAGGAATGTACGCGGCCGACACCTGTAAATCAAGAGATGTATAGCCAGCAGGTCACAAAAAAGGTCGTTGATTAATGCATATGTGTATTCTTTATCGAAATATTCATCACCATTGAACAGTGAAATTTCATCAATGCGGGAAACAATAACACGTTCCCTAGGAAAATTTAATACATTCGCAAATATATGCAAACTTTCAGTAATTCTTTCAGATCGTATCGAAACCCAACCAATTTCATGACAGAAAATCGAAAGAAGCTCAAATTTTCTTGTGTTCATAAACGGCAGGATTGAACTTTTGAAAATTGTAAGAATGAAAACACATTTATTGATTGAAAAACGATCGTCCTTGCTTGTGATTAGTGTTTTTAGCGATTATTTTCACTCGTAATCGACAAGCATGGACTAGATTCGTTCCTTTGCTCATTCCAAACGAATGAACTAATGATGATGATGTTGCTGATAAAATACGTTGAACACATAGACGGCATCTTAAGAGTATGAGAACTTAACGACTCGGAATAGGAAATAAGAAAGATGAAAATATTCAGAAAACGAGAAGAGGAAGAAAACCGTGAACTTTGGTGAGGGGCACGAGAACGAGACAAACACAAGAAGAGGAGACGTGATGAATGAAGTTAGCATAAACAATGTAATAATCAGACAGACGTTCGCTGAACCAAACGACTGAAGAGAGCGATTTTATTCGTTTAGTACTGAAGAGGGTGTAATGCAAGCCAGAATTTTTCACTTCAACTGAAACAGTTCAGTTATAGATGAGAGGCAGAGAACGAGATCACCAATTGAAGAGTGAATTCGAACGTTCCTTTCATTCCTCTTCATTTCACCGTTCAACGTTATCAACTAACAACCTAACGAACCAGTCAATTCGTCTCTTTTATA